ACTCTCACTGTTTTTGTTTTTGTAAGGCCAGGCGGTCCCCCTGCCATATTTGCTATTCTTTCTGCACATCGGGATGGTTTGTTCCTGCACCCCCAATATGCCTTCTTAAAAATACAGCCAGTTCTCCTAGACTCCTTTCCCCCTCATATTAGCCTCCTAAGGGATCCTGCCATTCAGTTCCCTGAGGGAGTCAAAGTCTGCTTTTCTGAAGTCTAGGGTCTGTACTCTGCTGCTCTCCTTTCTTCCTCTTGTCAAAGGCTTTCTGAAAGTCCAAGTACACTATGTTCATGGATCATTCTTGTCCACATGTTTGTTGACCCCCTCAAAGTATTCTAATAGATTGGTGAGGCGTGATTTCCCTTTACAAAAGCTGTGTTGACTTTTCCCCAACAAATTGTGTTCATCTATATGTCCGATAATTCTGCTCTTTACTACAGTTTCAACCAATTTGCCTGGTACTGAAGATAGGCTTACCAACCTGTAATTGCCAGGATCACCTCTGGAATCTTTTTTAAAAATTGGTGTCACATTAGCTATCCTCCAGTCATCTGGTACAGAAGCTGATTTAAGTGATATGTTACATACCACACATAGGCTAGGTCTACACTATAGTGGGGGGGGGGTCGACCTAAGATACGCAACTTCAGCAACGTGAATAGCATAGCTGAAGTTGCGTATTTTAGGTCGACTTACCTGGCTGTGAGGACGGTGGCGAGTCGACCGCTGCCGTGCCGCCGTCGACTCCACTTCCGCCTCTTGCCGCGGTGGATTTCCAGAGTCAACGGCAGAGCCATCGGGGATCGATTTTATCGCGTCTTCACTAGATGCAATAAGTCGATCCCAAATAGATCGATTGCTACCCGCCAATCCGGCGGGTAGTGAAGACATGCCCTTAGTGGTTCTGAAATTTTACTTTTGAGTTCCTTCAGAACTCCTGGGTGAATACCATCTGGTCCTGGTGACTTATCACTATTTAATTTATCAGTTTGTTCCAAACCCTCCTCTATTGACCCCTCAATTGGATAGTTCC